GGAATGGGCACTCTAGATATTGGTTATAAAAAATGGTGAAGGCTGGCTTACAAATTTTCATAAGTGTGCTTAGTTTCAGAATGAGGGGAAAAGGTAGAATCCCCACTGAATAGTTTGCCTTTTTCCAGATGGCTCTGGAAAAAGGGGATAGGGGATAATGGCGATAGGATTTTGTGATTCAATTTTGAGTAATTGTTAGCAGGATTAATCATGATTGTCACAACTGTAATTGTAGAAGATGTGTAACTAAAAGAGGAGCAGTTAATCTTTCATTTCAGGAGCAAAAGATCCCAAGTCCCAAGACCAACAAGAAGGAAGAGCATGAGATCCCAACCTAGAAATGCAGAAACGGCAGAGACAGTGGAGACAGAGTAGCTGAGGGCTCTAGGCCCATGGATTGAATAAGGCTGTGTGCCTGTGGGCAGGATGCTGGCTTGTAGACTGTGCCCTTAGAACATTTAAATGAATATATATTTTTGCTTTGTTCATTTGTGAAACATACGATGTCAGTGGGGGTCCACAGGCAGGAATTGGGATAACTGTTGTGGCAGGGAGGGGACTGTAATCATCAAGATGAAACAAAGCATATGATTTGTTGAATATAAATTTGCTGATGATCTTGTCGGTGAACGTTCACTCAATTCACAATGAAAAGTTAGAAAAGAAATGACATTTTGCATTGGTTAAAAATGCTGCAAAGGGAGACTTAATGGCGGCTAGAGTGGAGGTGCAGTGAAGTTCGCCATCAGCAATAACACAGAATACCAGGCAAAGCAGATCCAGGGCTGAGTTCCAAAACTTGTTTGAAGGGTTATAGCTTGTGGAGTTTGGAGCTGAAGTAAAAAATCATGTACTTTTGAATCTGCCGGGCCGGGCTTGGAGGCCTGAGCTGATATCCTGGGCGAGACCAAGTGGCAAGACGAAACGGGGAGCAGAAACACCACGGAAAAATGCCACAGGAACCTTGGGACAAAGGTGGACAATATACTGTGTCAGTTTTGCTTTGTTCTTGCTGGGATGTTGGGGGTGGGTGAGAGGAGGGAGGGGAAGATGGAGCACAGGGCAGGGATTAGACAGGAAAGTTTGGGTGCTGGGGAGGGGGGCAATATACAAGAAGGGAGAGGGGAATGGAAGAACAAAGAAGATGAGAGAACAATTAGGCAGGTTTGAATGGGCTAAGTGGGACAGAGATAAAGAATGATGTATGCACAACCTTGGAACTATAGGGCTCTGGGATACAG